TTATTTTTTTTTTTATTTTTTTCCCGTTATTAAATCTGGTTTTCTTGTCCTGTCACTGCTTTTATGCTTGGTTAAATAAATTGAGACCCCAATCAAGTAAATAATTAACACATTAAAACCAAAAAATTGTACTGACTGATTGCCTTTGTGTTGGTATCCGTAGTGTGGACTAAGACTAAATCTGAAGTTGTTACAAGTGTTATTACAAAACATACTTTTGTCGATTATATAGTGAATTAGCATCTGTTGTCTGTATGCCTACTAATATAAGCCCAGGCTGTTGTTGAGTTTCTGTATCCCTTCTCAGGCCTTCAATTGCAGTAGTTAATTCTGATATTTTCACAGTGATGCCAAGTTTGGTACATTTGCTTTGGGATCTGACTAAAATTTTTTATCCTATTGACTCTCAACTCGGACTTTCAATGTTTTTATACTGCAGTTTAGGTTGTATTACTCCACATACATGGGTGGCATTGCTTTTCATCCCAACTTTTTCAATTACTCACTCCCTCTTCTTCTATTAGGCTAATTATTTAAATTATTAAATAATTATTTTACTGACTGTTATTTTTTATGGGGAAACATTGTTAGTCTTCTAAGGCATAAGGAATAGCATTGAGGCGACTTTGTAGATATTGTACACTATATATAAAATTGTGGTTGACTTAGAAACTTATTGACTAAAGTGGATTAGGGAGCTTCAAAAGAGGTATGCCAATAAAAGTCAAAACCATCATCTTTATCAAATGTTATTATTTGGCATCAACATTTTATGATTGACATTTTAGATATGTGCCGACAAATCAATAACTGTTATCTTGGACTCTTGGTTAACAATGCTCGATTAAGGTTCAAGTTGAATTGTTTACTGAGCTGCTTTGATAATAACAACTCTATTCAAGTGCCTATATTTTTTATGATTGGTGTTGATGGATGAATATAATGCACTGAGTATCAAACAATTATGATAGAAACTATGCTTGATTGTGTTAACTAAAACTCTTGTAAACTTAAGATGTTGGTTAAAATTCTAAATTTTGATATACAAGTTCCTCAAATTTTTATTTATTTTTTAATAAGCATCATGCTTAAATAATATCTCGAGTAGTAATGTAATTATGTGATCACGATGTGAAATTTATAATATTACAATATACTCAATTTTCTAACCAGTACACGATCTCCTGCAATATAATGTTTTGAGGTATAACCCATTTTATTGTCATTTCATTTACATTGAAGAACTTTAGCAAATCTTATAATCACTGAATCCTGATGTATAAGATTGTTTGTTGATGAGCTCAACCAACAACTAGTCAACTGAAGACCTCCATTCTGTAGTCAACATTGTTCTCACAATTTGTTCCTAGTTATTACCTTCTAGTTATTATCTAAATTGTACAGGAAACTCTTGGTTTTTTAGCTGCATGTTTAGTTGGTATCTGATGGCATCTAATTTTCAGGCAGTATGTACTCTTACGTAGCGTGGCAACATAAATAAGGTAAATCTGTTTTCTGTAGAGTTGCAGTGTAAGGACATTTTAGTGATTCCCACATGCCATCAGACGTAATCAAGTAATCTGGGTCTTGTTTATTTAGTATCTTATACATGAAGTGCCGTAAAGATTTCCAATGCGCTGGAATTGTGATCGACTTCTACAGTTACCCCATACATGTTGCATATATGATGACATTTTTAATCTCATTGTTAACTGAATAGCAATTTTTGGCCGAAATAATTTGTTTCAGCTCAGTCATGTATTGGATATTGGGTTTTGTTGACAGCATCTTTTCAACGAGATAGCAGATAACTGTTTCAAAATTGCAACCAACAAAAGTGGGTGCTGTGTATTACCCCCATGCGTGGAGTACTCTCATGGAGAAGCTAGAGAACGATTGGTTAGGGAGATAATAGCAAACGCTGTGCACCTCGCTGAAGATCCTTATGGGTATGATTTCATTCTCTATCTCTCTCATCTGATTAGTATTTAGCTTCTTGAGGATCTTGATCTTCTGACTTATTGACAATTTTTTAGCAACTATGTGGTGCAACACCTGCTTGGACTGGACATGCAAGAAGTTACAGCAGATCTTGTGAGACGGTTGCAGGGGTCGTTTGTGTCTCTCTCATGCAATAAGTATGCCAGTAATGTTGTGGAAAAGCTTATGCTGGAGTCAGAAGAAAATCATTCGGACGCAATTATCATGGAGCTGCTGACGAGCCCTAATGCCTCTATGCTTCTCCTCGACCCTTTTGGAAATTTTGTCATTCAGTCGGCATTATCAGCATCCAAGGTAAGATATCCTATTTCATCTACTGGAATAAGATCAATTTTTGGAATGCCTTCTTTTGGTTCAGTAACGCATGTTTGGTTGTCGGCAGCTGAAATTTCAGGTGTGATTGCTTAAGTATAATTTCCATCATTTTTTTCAATGGATTTTTCTGTTGCTCCCAACATGCAACTACTTGTAAAAACTTTTAAACTCTCACTTCACTTAGCAAATATCAATCTTCACTAACTATAGTTCCCAAAGTGTGCCACACTGACTTTCGTCATTGCACTTTCATGTTAACTAACACACAATTCATCCCCTAGGACTTTTAAGCAGTTAATCACATCATATCACCACACTTTTAGAAAAGAAAAATCAGATCTATTTTCTTCACTGCATTTTCATTCCATATCCAGTCACTCTCTCAAAATTAGTTCAGGCCTTTCTGTACATGTTGAATCATTTTCCCTGTAAAGTAGATCAGGCAGTAGAAAAGGTCCGGCCGTCATTCACTAATATATTGGGACGTTTTTATTTGACTTGTTCGTAGCTTGTGCATATGAAGATTTTGATCTTCATTTCGTGTTGTATCCTTCACTCCAATGAACTGTAATTACCCACTGCTGACTACTTAACTTGTATATACTTATCAAGTACCATAAAGTAATTTGTAGGGATTACCTCTTGTTAATAAACAAAACCATCACCTTGGATGCTGATGTAAGCAATCGTAAAACCGTTTTTCTCTCTACAGAAACTTTTTTTCTTGCCTCTCTCTATGAACACTTGGGTTAATAATTGTTATATTTTTTCTTTCGTCTGTTTAGTCAATATATATCTCACTGAACGAAGAAATAAACCAAAAATATTTCACAAAGATTGCTACTCGCATCTTTCCACTTATTGTCTCTACAATCTTACTAAGACATAATAAGATAGTAGTAGTAGTTGTTATACAAAGAACATTGTTCATCATTCACATATTTCTAACTACCCATCTTGTCAATCATTTTTTTTTACTTTTATATCATATCAACTTTATCATTACTTTTTTTTTTTATTTTTTCTTTTTTATCTTAAATTCATTCGAATTTCAGTTTTCTCTCACTTATTATAATATTAACTTTTTCCGCATTTTCATCTCTAATTTTGAAGGATGCAAATTTTTTCAAAAAAAATCCTATCCAATCGTACCCTCACAATTTTCAGTTTCTTTCATATTCTTTTCCCGGCCTACACCAGCCGCCTCTCATGTTGGTGACTCATGACAGGTTACGGTCAGCGTTGCAAGTTTTATCCATCTCTTGGTCATGTTAGTTAGGTACATCCCATGTTTATGTGTTGCTCGCCATGTCCCAGATTTTTCATGTTATCATCAATTCCAGTCTTTGGAGACAACTCATTGTTCGTACTTCGTAGACGGAGCTTTGATTTTCGATGGTGTCCTCTTAGTTTATGTTTTGTTCTCTCGAGTTACGTTGAGCATGTTTGCTCCTATGCATAATTGTGGAAGGAGAATGTATTTCCCAGTGGGCAAATCATCGATTTTTTAAGTTCTCATTGAAAAGCTACCGTTTGATTGACGAAAAGGAGATACGACCAAACTAACGCAAATTTAGTACCGCAATGCTCCTCAAAGGTCTACCTGATGAGCTATTTTAGGCTAACATCCAATTCCTCATTGTGGTGTGGTTTGATGATATCCTGTAAATTGTTTGATGTTTAAGTTCCCATGTTTTGTGACAATTTGTTTATGATCTACTGAGAGAATCAGTTGACTTTTATTTAAATTTTGCGGCTGCATTAGATAGTTTGTGGAACAACTTGGCTTTAGAAAAATGAAAGCTTACTACTTGCTGCTATCCAATAACAGGGGCACATCCATGACGCATTGCTTAATTTAATCCAAGCAAATGCGCCGTCCATGCAGAGCAACCTTTATGGTAAAAAAATCCTTGCTTGGTTCGCAAAAAGGAAGCTCCGCGGTGCGTAGATATCTGCCTGTACGAATCGGGGATTGTGCTGACATTGGCCGTGCCATTTTGATGTTGTTCTATGAGAAGTGAACTCGTGGGGTTGTGGGTATATTTCGTACTTTCATTTTTCAATAACTGCATGTTTCTAATTTAGCTGTTCCTTTTCCTTCTGATGAACTGTGTTGTAGAGAATGTTGTAAAACAAACAATTAGGGGAAAGCTGTGTATGAGGCTGCAGCAACATTTTCTGTTAAAAATTTGTTTTCTATAATCTTATTTGTGTTTATATTTTTCAACTAGTGTTAATACCCGTGCGATGCACGGGGTGCAATACAAATAATATTATTTATTTAAATATTATAAAATTATTTGAGACGATATGAAATTATATTATCCACAATATTCTATTCAGTAACAATATAACATTTATTTATTTACTATTATTGTTCATTTCTATTTTTATGTATTTTTTTTGTAGTTTTTGACTATTTAATATATAAATTTATTATTTATAAGTTTATATAATATTATAAATGTATAAGATCATATGATATTTGCATACAAGTTACATGTATGTACTTATAAAATTGTCTTTTATCATAGTCTTATAATTTTGTTAATAATTCATAATTTGCACATTGCTTGATAATTGACCAACGTTTAACCCATAAGTTTTCTCCCGCTATAATTATTAAGTGTATTAAATGTTAAAAACTTTGATAAATATATTTTAAATTTTTTAATCCTTATGAAACACACAATTTTTTTATGGTTAAATATTTTATTTTTTTTTTTATTTTTTATTATATTTATTTCTTTAATTCATTTTCAACCTATATAATTACTTACATACTATCTATTCGAATATTTAGATATATTATATATTCCCATTAATACCAAGTGCTATAATTAAATTATTATACATTGCTTTATTATTAACTTATTTTTTATTTATAAAATAGTATACAAGAAAAAAAATATATATTTTAAAAAATTGAATAGTTTTTTAATGTACATCTATACATGTAAGGTGAAATTTATAATTCTGAGTTGCACCCGACCATCAAATTTTATTTTTATTAGTATATTATTTAAATTTTCAATATTATTATCACTGCATATGATATATTCAATGGAGATGTACCTTTTTATAGTTAAATTGACTACACTTTAAAAACTTCTATTAATATTTTAAATTATCTATTAAGTTATTATGATTTAAACATAATTATTCTATTATTTTATTAAACATTTTAAGTATTTGTTGTGTACAAATTATTTTATTTTACCGAGCACCGAATTAAATGATTCGTTTCCCGGGTCGATCTCTCGAGGAAAACTGTTCGGAATTTAATATTGGTGTTGATAACATATAAAATAAAAATAAAGCCTAAACATTCTAATCAAGATGAATTGGATAATAATTAACTAAAATATCAACTAAGAAATAACATAAAATAATAATCTAGCTAAAAATATAAACGAGACAATAATAAAAAAAGCTAGGGAATCGGGAATAAATCGCTTCCAGTTTTACAC